ATGTGTTTAACCATGAAGCCTCCGTGGTCTAATGGTTATGAGGCTCGCCTTGACATCGAGAGGTCGCAGGTTCGAGTCCCGCCAGAGGCATTTTATTACACAATTTTCTTTATTCATTTATTTGCAGGACTACATTCATGGAGAGCTATGCTACACGATGTATTATTATGTCCTTTATTCGAACACTGTATTTACCTTTCTTTGATAATTTATATATATATAATATATATATATATATACATTAATAGGCAAATGGGATAAACCCACGAAAAAACAACAAACGGTCACGTAATGCAAACAGTTAAAAAATGTTAACGAAACAGTAGAGAAAATGCAATCAGAATGACAAAATAAATTAAGTATCTACTGAAAAAATTCCAATATCTGCAAACGGATCCGTTTCGGCCTTACAGGTCTCATCAGTGCAGTTAGGGTACAGATAAAGATGAAACGTTCGACCAGCTTAAACAGGATATGCAAGCCCCACGCTTGACTGCAACAGCACCAGCTAATGAATAAAATGTCAAACCAAGACAATATAAAAACCAGCCCACGTCTGAATGCATATAGCGGAACACGAGCCGAAACTGATCCGTCTGCCGATACTGGGATTTTTTTCCCCAGTGGTCAGTTTATTTTGTCATTTTCATCGAATTTTCTTTACTGTCCCGTTTAAATATATTTTGTTTCTAGTCGCACCTATTGTGTAATGGAGTATATCTGGTGGTTTGAATCTGTTCAACCATGAAGTCTCTATGGTCTAATGGTTACCGTATGACGCTCGCCTTTACAGCGAGAAGTCGCAGGTTGGAGTCCCCCTAGAAGCATTTTATTATCCAATTTCTTTATTAATATATTTACAGGACTACATTCGTTAAGAGCTATGCTGCACGATGTAATATTATGTCCTTTATTTGTTATTTGAACATTGTATTTACCTTTCTTTTAAGATTTTTTTTAAGTTACATTTTTAGATCTAGGCCTATTAAACGGGCGCTTAATAGCCCCGGGCCAAGTGCTTTGCACTGACTGCACTAACTTTCCTCCATACTCCAAACTGGAGCAAAATTATAACGTTAGTCCATGCTACCAGTACTAGACCTAAGCAATAATGGAATTTAGAAGAAGTACGGTATGATTTTGTGGCTCAAAGTCGTGAAAAAAAAAAATAATTATAGAGGTCTCACTACAAAATAAGTCTCATTGTTGGAAAATAAAAATCGAGTTTATATTGTAGTTTATAATGTAGATCACCGTAGGCCCTATAAGTTTTAATTTGATTTTGGGTGGCTTTTCTAAAATAAGCGAATCCAGAGATGTGACATTTGAACTTTAGGTGTTATAAGGCCTACTATATGAACCAGGTTTAGAGAAAATGCTTTGTTTTTGCCTGGGTGGCGTCCGAAAAATCAACCTTGGTCGAGAGAGGAACGAATTCGGGTGTTCCCTTCCTATTATTGCTTTCAGGTGCTATGCTGGTTTGTGATTTCTTCTAACTTTGGGGTGGGAGGAAGGGGGTTGGTGAATATCTTTCCACCCCCTGCTGGATCCGGCACTACTTAACTCACGTGAAGCGTATTACGGTATCAGTGGTGGATTGAGGGGGTGGGGTGGCAGCCGGCACGCGCCGCCTAAATTTGTCAACATTAGATATGTGCGCTATATATATAATCTACACTATTATTAACATAATTAACAAAACTGGAGAAAATTATATTAAAATTTAAGTTTGAGAGTGCCATTTCCGGCAATTTATTGTTTTATATTCTAATGGTCTGTATATACTTTCAACGATACCCAGGTAACAATCCCACATGGGGCCCATATGCAAAATATCTGGGAAAAGTCTTATGGGCTACCCCATATTTTTCCCTTATGGGATCCGTCTGGGCAATCACATATGGGGCTTGCCCATGGTTTACCCATATGGAGCCCATATGCCAAATATATAGGCAAATATATATGGGAATGCCCATATTTAAAGTACATAGGCCCCATATGGTAAATACCTGGGCAGATAAATATGGAAATGCCCACATTTAATCCGCATGGGGCCCATGTGCCAAATATCTGGGAAAATACATATGGGCATACCCATATTTATCTACATGGGGCCCACATGCCGAAGACCTGGGTAGTTGAATATGGGTATGCCCATAATAATTTCGTATTGGGCCCATGTGCCAAATATCTGGGAAAATACTTATGGGCATGCCCACATATAATATACATGGGACCCATATGCCCAATACATGGGCAAGTAAATATGGGAAGCCCATATTTAATCCAAATGGAGCCCATGTGCCAAATATGTAGGCAGTTACATATGGGCATGCCCATATTTAATTTCCATGTGACCCATATGCCAAATAACTGGGCATATACTGAATGGGAATGCCCAAATTTAATCCACATGGGTTCCATGTGCCAAATATCTGGGAAAATACATATTGGCATGCCCATATTTATCTACATGGGGCCCACTTGCTAAAGACCTGGGTAGTTG